TCAGTGACACCTGCACAGGTCCAGCACTGCAGAGGAGGGTGCAATGACATTGTGCACAGGTTCAGTGACACCTGCACAGGTCCAGCACTGCAGAGCAGCGTGTTTCTGCCCAGACCTGGCTCCGAGGGGCTGTGCCCAAGCGAGGAGTGGGGATGGAAGCGTGTGCAGGGGCACGAGGCACTTGTGCAGCCTGGCCCCGTTGCAGGGCTGGGGGAAGGAGCCACGGGCAAAGGCAGAGGAGCTCAGGCAGCTGGGCAGGTGTGGCTCAAACCAGCGGCCTCGCTCCGGGCTCAGCAACACTCACAGTGCCCCCTGCTCCAGACAGCGACTGAGCTGAGGGCAGAAGGATCTCCAGCTCCTCTCCCACCTCACCAGCTCCCTTCTCCTGCCCTTGGCTTGCAGCTTGTCCCCAAGGAGCCGGCCAGCAGCGAGGAGCTCCTGGGCAGGGTGGGCTGTGGTGTCCCTGCGTGGTTTCCCAGGCTGCAGCTCCCACCTGCAGCCCACGGCAGAGCCCAGTGCTGCTGGCTGCCTGCAGCATCCCAGCTGGGGCTGGCCACAGCCCAGTCCACACGGGCTCCTGGCAGCTGGACACAGCCCAGTCCCAGCACGGGCTCCTGGGAACGCTGGCACTCCCAGACCCTGTGGGCAAGCACGGAGGGATTGCTGCCAAGGCAGTGCCACGAGCCCTGGCAACCAGCACTAAAGCATCCCATTTTTCACAGGTGCCAGGCCGTGCATCCTGCGATCCTGTCTCATCCCGAGAAGGAGAGAGGAGCTCCCGTTGAGGCCCAAGCAGCTCATCCCCAGCCCAAGGGAGCCTCGGGCACTGCAACGCTGCTGGGCAGGCGGGCACTGACCAGGGCAGCCTCCTCCTCCTCCTCTTTGTGCAACTTCTCTGACAACCTCCTTCCCCCTGGGCCTTCTGTCCCAGACACTGTCCCAGACACTGTCCCAGACACTGTCCCAGTGAGCCCCAGAGCTCCCAGCCTGCCTCTCCAGCAGGGCAGGGGTGGGACAGGGCTGGCCCAGCCCGAGGCCGGGAAGCGCCGGCCGGATTCGGAGCACGGTGTCCGGAGAAGAGGTGACCACAGGGGACACTGGGCCTCCCCCCTGGCACAGCTCGAGCAGCTGAGCTGCAAGTCTTGCTTATCAATTCCTTCTATGATGCACATCAAATATATTCCACAACAGGGACACTTCTCCTCTCCTCCCTCCTCTGCTCGGACACCTTTTCCCCAGCAAAGCCCTACAAGTGCTGCTTGCTGTGGCCTCATTTTGCATCATCATCATCATCATCATCATCATCATCATCATCATCATCACCACACACTCATCCTCATATAAAACAGAAATCTATTCCATCAAGCACTTAACATAAATATTAAAATAATGGAAGGGACAAAATATAAATCTACATACAACTTCATGACTACCATAGCACCTATTACCATGACAAAGCAAAATCTGGTTCAAGGGGAAGGGAAGGGGATGAGGAGCAAGTTAGGAAGAGGAACCTCGACTGTCATTAAATATGTAAATCACTCTTTCAAAAAACATTTTTTTTGTTGTTGTTGTTTTGTTTTTTCTTTTAAGGTTACCAACCTTATTAAAATTCATTCCACTAACCAGCTCGTTCTATGTCACTATGGATACCAAAGAACCCTTTAAAAAAACTCGGGCGAGGCGGGGGTTTCTCAGAATCAAAACAGAACAAAACAAAACAAAACACGGCGACTTTCTGTTGGTGCTTCCATGACAAGTCCTGCCACGCGCCCCTCCCCTGCACCCACCAGTCCACAGAAGGGCAATTCTTTCACAAGTCCAGTTCTCAGTCTCCCAGGATGAGCTTGACAAAAGAGGCGACGTCTGTCTCTTTGGATTCGTGCAGGGTGAAGAAAGGATGTTGCTGGGAAAGCAAAGAGAGAAAAAAAAACAGAAAAGTTTATTATTCGCCACGCTGAGCAAAAAAGGCTTTTCAGACAATCCTCTAGACAGTGAAGAAGGTTTTCTCCTTAGCATCATAATATTGGGTTTGTACAGCTGAGGCAAGTCGGGGAGCACAAGGGCTGCTCCATGAAATTGTGATGCTGCCCTGGATTCCCCCCAAACCCTGCCCTGCCTGGCAGGGCTGAGTTGGGCAGCTCTGGGGCAAGGGGAAAGCTTAGAAAACCCTCTGCATCTGCCCCAAAACACCCCCCAGACCATGGTTACCCATCCCACAGGCTCCAGCCGGAGCAGGGAAAACCTTGCTGACTGCAGTGCTTTTCCCTCAGCTCTGTCTGTGTATTTACCCTCTGGTGACTCCTGAGTCTCATTTCTTCCCTGAACTGCCCCTCCTCGCAGCAGGAGAGGCTCCTTCACCCCAGCCACCACACAGGAAAGCCATCCCAACTGGAAAACCATCCCCACTTGTGTGTTTAACTACTTCATCCTGACCGAGGTGGGGAGACAGCCTGCCAGAAAACCCTGCCGACACTGCAGCATGAATGGAAAAATACGGGTGAGGAGGAAAAACACCACCAAATCCCCCCCACAGCAACAAAACCCCTCTCCACCAGGACCAGCAATTCAGTTTGGTTGGCTCAGCAACGCACCAAGCTGAGACCCCACCTGAAAACCCCCAAAACCCTGCTTGACACCCACTGTCCTGGCAGATAATCGGATTTATTTGTATGGAGGAGGTCAGAGAGAAGCAAAAGGCAGCCAGGGCCCTGCAGGGCTCACAGTGATCTCTGCTCTGTACAAGGGTTTGATTTCCAACCCTCTCATTTCAAGTTGGATTTTTAAAGGTTGTTTGGAGTTTCCAGGGCATTTCCAAGCTGCCCCTCACCTCAGTTCCTGAGCGTTGGCTGTTTCTTGGCAATGGCCAAGTGGAGGGAGAAGAAGAGCAAAGAAAAGAGATTTTTCAAGGTGGGTTTGAGTGGAAAGTCACCCAGGGAATAAGATGAGGCAGCTCAGAGTGGCTGGGAAGCGATCCAAAGACACACCAGTAAGGAAGAGGAAGCACAATTATGTGGGAAACAGGGCTGGAATGGGTTGAGGCAAAGATCCAGACAAAACTTAAGGTCTCCCTAGGTCAGACAGTCACAGGAATTAAGTGTCCTGAGTAACTCTGAGGTGACCCCAATGTCTTGTTATTATCCCAGCATGATGTCCCTGCTTTCACACCCCCCTGAAGTGACACCCAAAGCACAGCTACCACAGGCTGGAAGCACCCAAAAATGTGCTGGGGTGGCAGCAGTGCCCTCCAGCCCCGTGCCCCGGGGAAGCCAAGCTCTGAGCCTGGCACAGAGCCCGTGCCACGCAGGGTGTGCAGACCACTGCTCCTGCAGTAGTTTCACGCTCCACTTCACCTGAGGAAGGGGGTTTTTAAATGAAATTAAGCACCCCTATCAGCTTTCCTGATGCTCAAGATAGCACAGAGTCATATTTTCCATAAGAAACCTCAATTCCACAGGAAAGCAAGGGAGCAGTCTTGGTCTAAATGACAAGTCCAATCCAGCGCTGCAACTTAATGCTGTAAGAGAGAGGAAAAAACCCCAACAAAACAGCAACCCTCAACCACAGGACCTCACAACATCCATGTCAGCCATAAAATACCACAGCATTGAGATACTCTGCAGGGGTGATCCAAGAAGCTAATTCAATAGAAATGCACTCCCTTGCCAATGGGTATTAATACTGCAGCAGACGGAGCTGCTTCGCTGAACCTTTTTTGATAAAAGGCCATTTGGCAAAGTTCAGAAGTTTGCTTAAAATATACAGATGGATTTATTCAATAATATACCCACCCCACCCCCCCCCCCAAAAAAAAAAAAAAAGTTTTTTTAAAAACAGCCATAAATCTAAGGCCTCCCTTTGTTTGAAACCAGTCTGGGGGCAAGCTGTGTGTCAATCAGATCTATTTATAGTTTAATTGCATTATAGGGCACAGCACCAAATGCCACGGGAATTATTCACTGCCTACAACTCAGGGTCGTGGATTTCCAGCATGGCTTGCAGGTAAAAATCACCTTTAACCTGCACCTTCTCACCTCTGAGCAGAAGGTGTGAGGTGGTGATGACTCTGACCCTCTGATGGCAGAATGTACATCCCAAAAATTGTTGGGTAGGGAATATGAGTGTATAAAAAAATCCCTCAGCAGTTTCCACCTTTAATCCAGGTGATCTTGAGACTGAGACTGGACAGGGGTAGGAATGCAGGGTCAGGATCTTCAGAAATAACAAATTTAGGCACCTTCCTGCCTTTAGAAAGCTGTAAGTTGTGTGAGAGTAAAAAAGGATGAAATGCCTGCAGGAGTGAGACACCAACTTCTTGAGCTCTCCTGCTTTTTGCCAGCTTTTAGGAGCACCAGGATCAATACCAGAAAGTCAGGAGAGAGGGGGAGGCCATGAAGCTGTGGAGACCAAGCAGAAAAATCTGTTCTTGCCCAGAGCTCTGGCTGGGCACAGACCAGTGTCCTGCATTTCCCCTGTCACCAACCTTTACTGGCATTTTCCTCCTTAGTTACTCCTCAGTTATCTCTCCCAGTAAACAGTCTCTAGGCAGCAGATGAAATTCAATAACTGGGATTATTAGTCACAGACTCATCCCTGTCCCCAACGTCCAGCAGTGACTCTGTCCAAAACTCCCCCTCTCCAAAGCACCAGGGCAGCAAAGCCCAGTTGGCCACTGTGCAGCTCTTGTGGAGCACCTGTGGAGCACCGAGGTATTTGAGCTGATCACACAAACCCAGAGGAGGATTTGAGCCTCACTAACTGATTCTTCACAGCCACATTCTTGTCCATGACCTGCTTTAACATGCATTTTCTCCCTTGATTTCCAAAAAAGCACCTGGCTGAGATTTCAAAGAGCATCTCTGCTTAGCAGCCAACCTCCCAGGACTCTGAAGTGTCACAGTTCTCCCATCTGGTATGAAAAAAGAGATGCAAAGCAGCCCAAAACACCACCACTACTGGAATCTCTGCTTTCAGCACTTCACTGTGACCCTTTCCAGCTCTGAACACACTGCTTGATGCAGCCACACTCACCATAAGCTCTGGGTATGTTGGCCGTTCTTTGGAATTCTTCTTCAAGCTTTAATTGGGAGAAAAAAAAGAAAGAAAACAATTAGAATTTACATTCTGCCTGCAATTTAAGTAAGGCCATAAAATTACACCATGACACAAGCAAGGTTTTAAAGACTCTGCAGAATAAATTCAGCTACTCCTCCAAGCTGAGGAAACAATTTAGGCCTTGAGGACAAGAACAGCCAAGAGCTCAAGATCCACCAAGAGATCTGGAGCCACCAAGAACACCACTTCAAACACTGCCTCTTGCTGGGGGCTGGGTACAGCTGGGAGTTTGGGTGCTCTCCAACAGGCCAGTGACTCAGGGAAGGGATTCAGGCTCCAAGCTCTGCCTGGGACCAGCGACTGAGTGGCTGCAGAGCACGTGCCCAACTGTTTGTTTATCACCGTGCTGTTATCAGCGGGGACTGCTCCATGGGACATCCTTTTTTTCTCCTCTCCTACAACAGATGGCCCTGGAGGGTTGTAGCTGGAAGTTATTTTGGTTTCCCTCCAGCAGAAAATAGCTTTTTAAAAGACAGGACGTAATCTCTACTCACTTCCTGGCAGTGTATTTAGGGGAAAGACACTTGGAGCAACTTGAAAAGATCTTCACACACGTACGCGGCGGTGGCGGGGAAAAGGTGTCACACTGAGCAAAACAAAAGTGAGAACCTCTGCTGGGATTTGCTGGGGCCCAGAGGAAGCAGAGGACACACACTGAATAGATATTTCCTGCTTGCTGTGTGTAGAGGGCTCGTGTTCAGTGTCATGTTGTGAATGAACAGAGGAACCCGGGGCCCATACGTGCCAATATCGCCGGCCCGAAGGTACGGGATGTGTCACATCCTCCCAGCCCAGGAGCAGCCCCAGCCAAGATGACACGGTGGATTTGAAGGTTAGCTGTGTCCAGATTTGGTGTAATTCTCTTAATTTAGACCCTCTACAAAACCAATTCATCCCCAGGTTACTAATAGCAGGAAAACTGGTGATAAGTTACCAAAATCAATGTAAATTTTCAGGAATGAAGAGTTATATTGGGATCTGATCCTGACTCAGATATCGCAGAGACCTTCCTGCAGTGCCTACAGGTGATCAGACTTCAGGCAGCAGATGGATAAACACAGTCCTAAGCCAGGCCTGATACAGAGTGGATATGACCTGGATCAGTGTCAGAAGGAATTCCCAGACCCTAACAACACAACACTGGTGCAAAGTTCACCATTCCAAGTCCTTTCCACAACACTGGTGCAAAGTTCACCATTCCAAGTCCTTTCCACAACACTGGTGCAAACTTCACCATTCCAAGTCCTTTCCACAAAACTGGTGCAAACTTCACCATTCCAAGTCCTTTCCACAAAACTGGTGCAAACTTCACCATTCCAAGTCCGTGCCACTCTGCTGGCAGTGAGGGATCTTCAGCGACGCTGGAGGACAGGATTTGCAAAGACAGGAATCAGCACGTGCTCCCCAGAGTGGCTGTGGATGTAACTCCTAAAGCAGCCACAGCCTGAGCTGCAAGACACAGGGCTTGGAAAAGAAATCCCCTGAGAGGAACAGCCTGCCTGGCACAAGCAGGGAAACAGCAGAGCCAGCAGCACTGTTTGCAGGAACAGCAGCTGCTCCAAAACCTCAGCGTGGGCTTGGCAAGAACGGGGGGCATCTTGTGAGAAGGTTTTTCCAAGGCAGCTCCCACCTCTCCCAGACCCAGGGCACAGTGGGCATGGCAGGTATTCCCCAGCGTGGGTCAGGAGCTGAGCAGCTGGACCCCAGGGACATGAAAACACGTTTGAACAAGACTCTGAAGAATCTAAACATTGGTACTTGTGGGAATGCAGGGCTTCCCTCTGGCTGCCCTGGTAGGTCTGGGACCCTGGCAGGGGTCAGGAACTCCCCTGGACAGAGCCCCCAGAGACACTGGCTGTGATCTCTGCCCATGGAAAAGAGTTTTCAATCCTACAGCATGAATTACAAGCTCTGAGTGTTTGATATCAGTAATAATTAAATGTGGCACGGGTGCAAAAGTAAAATTTTAGGATTCTAGATGAGGGGTCCAAAGGGGACAAGATGGAGGAAATTGGGTGTGCCTTGTCCTTTTTCTCCTTCTT